GAGATGCTGCCCTTTTGTGGCAGAATGCACTAAAATACAAGTTTAAATGTTTTGTTAATTCTTCTTTTTTCTCTCTCTTTATGACTTTAGAGGAGAAAAGAACTCAAAACAAAAGCTATTCCTGCTGGATTAAGTTAAGTGTGGCTTGCTATGGGGCAGCCTGGGAAGCCAGGCTGGGCATCTTGGTAGGAGCTGACCAGACTGTTGGGATTAAGAGAGACCTGGCAGGTTGCTGTCCTGGAGTGGCTGATGTCTGCATCTGCCAGATGGGCACAGAGAGGCAATGGCATCTCCTGGCCCAAGGCCACACAGATAGTCATGACCAGGACTCAAGGGCAGCACTCCTGGGTTCTAGAGTCTTCTCCACAAGTGGGGGCTGCAGATCCCAGGTTTTCCACCATGGTCAAGGTTTCCAACATCCTGCCCTGCTCTTTTCATAACTGCATTCCTACTTGCCAGCCCACATGTGTCATATTTTGGTTTGGAAAACACAGTCATCATCCAGCATCACAATGCCTCCCTCATATGTCCTTAGAGGGATGAACAGATGGCAGGACCTCTCAGCTCATGGGGTGGGAAGGAACACAGTGGGGCCCTTTGCTGGGTGCCCCATAGCTCAGTCAGCCACTGGATGGACAGGTTTTCAGCCTTCAGCCAGGCTCTGAGGGGCTGGTCTGCTGTGAAATGTGGTTCGAGCTGATATCCCTGTATGGGTCACTTTAGGTGTCAACTTGGCTAGGCTACTGTGCCCATTTTTGACATGTGTTTAACATTTAAATCATCAGATTTTGAGCAAAGCAGCTGACCCTCCGAAATGTAGTGGGCCTCATCCAATCTGCTGAAGGCCTTCACAGAAAAGACAGGTTCCCGGACAGAAAATAATTCTGCATAGCTGGGATTATAGGCATGTGCCACCATGCCTGGCTAATTTTTGTATTTTTAGTACAGACGGGGTTTCACCATGTTGGCCAGGCTGGTCTCAAACTCCAACTAATGGGACTGTCGTGCAGATCCCATGGGACATCCCAAGATCAACTCTCTTGGGAAATTTCAGCCTGCTGGCATGCAGATTTCTGGTCTGCTAGTCCACCTAGTCGTGTAAGCCAAATTCTTAAAATCTCTCTCTCTCTCTCTCTCCATATATATATATGTTTCTGGAGAGACATTGCCCATAATTTCCGTCTTATCCTCCAAAAACGCCCATGGCCCCCAAAGAGCAACCAAATATTTCCTTTGGCAACTGTACTTCTGATACACGCATAATCTGCACACACATACACACACACACACACACACACACACACACACACACACACCCTACTGGTTCCGTCTCGCTGGAGAACCCCGACTCCTACAGTCCCCAGCTACGTGGTAGAACATTCTGTTTCTTCAGTCTGCTCACAGAGAACCGCCACAATGTACAAGGACATTAGCACACGGACCTCTTATTCACCACCTGTCCCCTTACTATCTTATTCTTGGCAAATTTTCCATGACAATAGGATGGGATATGTTCTTCTCTGATTTGGGACTTTGTTTTTGTGGGGAGGGGTGGGATGGCCTGGGGACTCTGGAGGGTTAGGGTACCTAGCACAGTCCAGGAAAGGCGAATGGAAATCACACCCTCCCATTGATGAACTGTGTCCCCAGCAGCCTTGACAGGCCAAATATAGATTTGGTTCCTCTTTGGGGCCATGGAGTTTTTGGAAGACATCACAGAAGTTATGGGCAACATCCCAGAAGAATTCTCCTGCCCACACCCATCTCCAGGGATGTGCAGGTCCCCTGAAGAGCAGCCGTGCACCTGGAGGAAGAGGCCTCCTGCGTGGGAGAAGGCACTGGAGTTTTAGGAGCTCAGTAACAGCAAAGATGAGACAGAGTGCCCAGGCAGCAGGACTTAGCCAAAAGTCAACCAGCATTTCCTGAGCATCCGTGCCATGCTGGGTGCTGACAGAAAACAGTGGGTGACCAAGCTTGGGTCTGGAAGGACAGAGGCCAGGAAGAAAGAAGGAGGGAGGAACAGCGAGGAATCTGACCTTCTTTCCAAAAGAGACTTAAGAGACCAAGTAGTCTCTTGAGACTGAACTAGACAGTTAACTTTCCCCGGGAGCTGCGGAACAGGTCTCGGTAGTAACTCCCGGCGTTACTCCTCTAGCATCTTAGCTCCTGGAATGTAGCATAATTGACCGTAGTGAGAGAAACTTCCATCAAAGATAAAGTAGGAGTGTTGTCTATCTTCACGCAGCTGGATGGGCCGTGGGAGGAAAGACGCTGAAAGGTGAAAAGCACCCAAAGTTCAAGACCCCCGATGGAGGCACAAGAATGAAGGCTCCTTCAGGTGCCCAAAGCAGCCGCCACTGGGACAGGAAGAAACCACAGCTGGTGGAGCAGTTGGGAGAGTGAGGCCAGTCCCTTAACGAAGAGGGCATGACAGCCAGGAGACAGGAACCCGGGAGAGGTGGGCTTGTGACCAAATGGTCACATTTCTAGAACCACTGGAAAAGACTGTGTCACCTGCTTCCGGTGCCTCTTTTGCTCAGTTCAGTCACTTTTTTAGATTTCTCCAAGTCCCTCAAGGTCCAGGTTCCCTGTCACTACAGCCCATTTTCTCAAGCTGCAGTCTTGGTTGAGGTATTTTAAAGATGGCAAATAGACCTATCTACACTTCTACAGAGTTTCAGGAAGGAAGGGAAGAAGGGAAAGAAGGGAGGGAGGGAGGGAGAAAGGACAGGAGGAAGTTTGGAGGGTAAGAAAGGAGGGAGGGAGGGAGGGAGGCCATTCAGTAAATTCTGCCTCATAAAAATTATTCTGCCTGTCTAATTTCAAAACGCTCAAGTCTGGCCATTGTCATTTTTGTTTCCCAAGTAGCTCAGGAGATGCACAAACACCAGATTTAATCCTTCTTTCTTCGTGTTTAAATTAACCAGGGTGAGGAAGGAGGGGAAGAGGTAAATCACACTTTAGGGGGAAGTTATCAAGTTAGCTGTCCTGGAAAAAGTCAAAGATCCACAGCTTCATTTCGGGACAAACTCGCAATCATGACACAGGACTTCAAACAGATTGCAGGGTGCATGAGACAGAATTGCAAACAGATCGCAGGGTGTTGGTTCAGACTCAAGTCATCGCTTCCTCCCCAGCCAGTGCTCCGGGGCTTGGGGAACAGGCAGCGAATGAGATGGTCTCCAAATCCTCTCCCACTGCCCACCACCCCAGGTCCCTGCCTGCCATTCCATTAGCTTTCTTCTTTCTCCTTCTAGAGTCACAACTGGGGATTCTGGCCAAGATAAGAACTCAGTTCCTGGTGACTGCCCAGTGCCTTCCATTCTATGAAGCAAATTTGGTCAGAACACAATGCCAGTGGGATAAGAATCAGAAAGGGCGGTGCCAAGGTGCAGGGGCTATAAGGAAAGGTGACTCCTATTGCTGTCTGAGGATAGGGGGCAATTGATGATGGCCCAACATGCATGGCTTCTACCTTCCCCACAAAGGGAAAGAAACCAGGAGGCACCCCTCATCCTCTCTGCTGCGGGTGAACGCAGCCCAGCCAGCAAATCCGGCTATCACAACCAGCTACAGAGTGGGACCCAGGAGAAAATGCAAATGTGCAGCTCTTGGTTCAGAAAGTATTAAGTGACAGCAGGACATTAAGCCAAGCCAGAGTCCTTCTGAGTGTGGGACCCTGTGCAAGTGTCCTGCTGGCTCAATGTGAAGCCACCCTGCCTGCCCTTCTAACATGATGGGGCAATGTTCCAGACCTATCCCGGATGTGATTAGAGGTCTTGTCCTCAGGTCTGAAAGACCTTTCACCCCTCAGGTTTACTACCCTCCTCCGTACTTCATTTTTGAGGTACCCACGACACAAGGTAGGTAAGCAAGCTGCATGAAAGCTGCCACTGAGCGCTCAGAGTATGGGGCTTGTGGATAAAGGAACCGTGAGGAACATGAATCAAGGTGGCTCCGGACACAGTGGCAAGTTGCCTTTACAGGCTTCCAGGGGGTTGCATTCACAACCATCTCTCAGTTCCCAGCTAAGAATCCCTAATACGGTACCAGCTGGGGTCCCAGGAGATCCCGCAAACACCCAGAGAATGGAACTTAGAGGCGTCTGGTCCAGGTCCCAGATCTTAGAGATGGGGACCCAAGCCAGGTCAAGCCCTCTGTGTGGCTTGCAAGATGACGTGTCTACAGAAGGGGTTCCCTGAACACTGGGAGTCACCAAAGCCCCCCCATGTCACAGCTACACTCTCTCCACATGACCCCAGGAGAAAGCTGACTTCCCCACAGGACAAACCCCAAGCCAAATTCAGGATGGTGCAGTCTAAGTCCTAGGATAAGAGAGTTCCTGAGGACTGCAGGAGCGAAGGGGAGGCCCTCTGTGGCCATGGCTGTGAACGACCAGAGCCAGCCTGAGGAAGGTCCTGGACGAGCTGATGGGAATTCACCCTTGGCACCCAGGTGGGCCTACCAGGAGGAAGGGAGCCTGTCCCCGGGGAATCCCCCCCCGAAGTGGACTGTGCAGGTTCTGTCAGGCTCAGCTAAACCCGCCCTTAGACTCCCTGGAGAGCAGTATGCTTTCAAGGGATTTTGAACCCCTTGGATCCTGGTGGGGTCAGCAGCAGGTATGAGCCCCCTTATCCCCTGGGGAATGAGATAAACTTTAGGGGGCTTCCTCTATCTCAGAAAAGAGGCTCAGAGAGACTTCTCAGGTATCTAATCCCCTGGTCAGTTCCCTTCACTCAGAGGGAGGACTCCCCCTTCCAGAGGATCAAGCTCAGGATTGAGTTTCTCTTGGGTCAGGCCCTCAGGGGGGATGTAGGTCACACCGATGACCTGCAGAAGGGACCTGGGCTGGCAGGAGGCCCCAGCAAGAGCTAAAGGCTGTGCCAGGACAGGTTCTGGGCTGACTGAGCAGGGCTGGGGTGGAGTGAGGTCCTCCTGGGAATGCGCAGATGTGGGCCGGGCCTGGGAGCCATGTTCCTCACCATGCAAGACTGACTTACCCGGGTGTGTTGATCCAAATGATGTCCAGGTGGCAATAGTAGACACACTCCCTGTCCTTGTAGGTGAAGCACGTGCAGCGCCTGGATCGGTGGTGCTCAGGGGTTCCCTTGGCAGCCTGCTCCTGCCCAGGGCTTCCAGGACTTGGACCCTGCAGAGCTGTGGGGGCCACAGTCCCCTCGACAGGGCCAGCCACAGTCTCCTCACAGTCCCCCTGACAGCTGGCTGCAGTGGGGGCCTGGGACACTCCGCGCCTGCCAGCATCCCCAGACTGGGAGCAGGGCATCAATCCTGTAGGAGGCAGATTGAGGGGCTTCTGAGCTGAGTGTGCAGACCCCTCAACACCCGCCACCCCCAAACACCTGGGGGGGGGTGGAACAAGCAAAACGTCTGCAAAGTTTCCAAAGCTCTGCACCGTTTCTGAAAAATTTCCAAGCTATCTGCATGTTCTGTGAAAAGTTTGCAAGCTATTTGCACCCGCTGAAAACTTTGCAAGCGTTTTGCACAGCCTCTCAATAGTTCGCCAACTTTCTGAGAAGTCCCCAGTTTCATGAAAAATTGACCAAGTCGGCCCAGGCAGCAGGTCTCCAGCCCCGAGCTGCAACCCCCAGAGCCCGCGGGGGTAGTGGTTGCGCAGCTTCTGCTCCCCAGCCCGCCCCCAGGCGTCTTCAGGAGCGCAGAGCCCGGGCAAGAGTTTGCTCCCTGCAACGCACATCTTCTCGGTGCCTTGGATTCCCCGCCCGAGATCCTTTTGTGTGCACTCGCGCCAGGAGAGGCGCGCCCGCCCCGTGCGCTTACCTGCCGCGGAGGTCACGGTGAGCCCGAAAAGGAGCCACAGCCCCGGCTCCATGAACCCAGATGAAGCGCCGGAGCACCGTGCCAGAAGGACGGCCGCTTGTGGCCGCGAAAGGGCACTGGGGCCAGGCACAGCTGGCCTCGCCTTCCAGCCGCAGGGGTTCGAGGCCGGCCGCTCACTCGCTGCGTCTCCAGCTACCGCCAGGAGTTGGCTGCGGCGATCACAAACTTTCAGAGTGCGCTGCCCATCCCTGTGCGGAGCTGGCCGGCTGTGGGCTCGGGCTTTTCAGGCTTCTGCACCACCCCGTCACCTCCCCGCCCCCCAGAGGGGCTGGAGCTGCCCTGCGGGGCCTTTGAACCCAGGCACACCGGGGGTCGCCTCCCAGGCGCTGGGGGGAGCTGGCCAGGAGCGCAGCGGCCCGAGGCGCACCCAGGACAGTGAGGGGCGGCGCGGCGCGGCGCGGTGCGGCTGGGTGGGGTGGGGTAGGGTGCGGTGGGGGCCGGGACAGCTGCCAGCTGCCGGAAGGCCACGAGAACGCGCGCACACACGCACGCGCGCGCACTCACAGGCGCACCTCCGCCCGCCAGTTCGCTGCTCCGGAGTAGCAGCCTCCCCCACCCAAGAGCAAGAACAGATGAAAAAAGGCTATGCAGAAGGGGGTGTTACTTTTCTGTCAGGGGCTGAGGGAAAGACATATTTCTCAGTGTTCCCCGAGTGACACCTTCCCCTCAGAGAGCCTGCTTGCCAAGGCGCTCAGTGTACTTTACACTCCTGACTCACACCGGGCAGGCTCCCTACCTCTCCCAGGGGTTCAGAGCCTGCGGGTGGGGCAGGGGCCCGGGAGCAAAGTCAACAAAGATCCTGGGTTAGCGGTCCTGTGGTGTCGGGGGCTTCCTCAGCCCTCTGCACAGGTGAGGTGGCTTCGCGTGAGAGTCCGGCTCCTCTCCCTAAAGGCCAAGTTCATTCACAGAACCGTCCCCACCATGGGAGATGGCCTCCCAAGAGCCCCCTGTTTCCTTCATAGCGTTCCAAGTCCTACGTGTGGGTGGCTGTCCCCATCTCCACCTCAGATAAAAAAGTCTGAGACTGGGAAGTCCTCCTCCCTTCTCAGGGCACTTGTGTTCAAAGGACCCTCCTTTCATAACAGATGGGCCTGGGGTTAGACTGGGGGCGGCGACTTACATCTGTAGTTCCAGCTGTTTGGGAAGCCAAGGTGAGCGGATTGCTGAGCCCGGGAGTTCAAGACCGGCCTTAGCAACATCGCGAGACTTCATCTCTAAAATAGGGACTGAATCCTGTCCTGCCCCTACCAGCCTTAACAATCAGCTTCTGAAAACTAGAAAGCAGCTGAAGTAACTAGAGCAGCTTCTGAGGAGAGTCCAAAAAAGTGCTACAGCATCCACCTGGCTCGAAGGCTCGGGACACCTGTCCTCTGAACACAGCTGCCTTGGCCGAAGGAAGCCCTAACAAGCCCACTTGGAGAGATCACCTGGAGAAACGTACGTGGAGAGAAACTGAGGCCTCCCAGCCGACGCCCAGTGTCAGCCACTGACCTGTGAGTGAATGAGCCTTCAGATGATTCGAGCTCCCAGTCCTCAAGATTTCCAGCTGAGGAACAGCGGGCCCACTGCACCCTGTCCGAATTTCCCACCCACACAAGCCATGAGCATGATAATGGTTGTTTTACAGCTCTGGGTAATTGGTATGGAGCTGTAGTTACTACAGTAGCACTCAAGCTTACAGAATTGATGCTGAGGTTGAAGTTCTCCATCCCCCGACTCCCCTCCCATCCTGCCTAGCTCCCTTTCCTGCTCCTCTTCTGGCCTTTGACTATGGCCAGGGCAATGACTCCATCAGATGTGTCTTTAACAGCTCTCTAACAAACCCCCGTTTTATACAAAGGGATAGCAGGCCGCAGGCTTGGAGCCTTTGTCAGGCTATGGAATCGAGCTTACTGTGCATGGTAGTGATTGACATAAAATTCCTTTCTAAATTAATATACTTAAGTCAAGAAAAGGTAACCTCAAATATGAAGTAGTTCATTGTAAAGCCAGCTTGGAGACTTGGCAAGATCACAAGCCTTCTGGGTTCCAAGCTAAGCAATGTGCAAAGGAAACATACAATTCATGTAACCCAGTGGCAAGCTGGTGGTTTCCATCATTGTGTTGTGACAACTCAAAAAAATTTATGCTAACATTATCCCCATCTCACAATTTAAAAACTAAGGCTCAAAAAGGTCAAAGAAACCAGCCTACAACCATGCATCTATTAAGTGGCAGTCAACCAGGATTCAAAATTGACTCCACATGATTCCAGGGACAGAGTTCATAACCCTTGAGCAGTGCTGCCTTTGGAACTCATATCCAGGGTTTTAATGGTTCCCGTTTTCTTCTGTGTATCATTGACAAGTCACTGCCTCTCCATCTGTCTAGTTTCCATCCCAGAATCTCTGATGGAAGGTCATGTAAAGGAATGATGACCTCTGGAGGGGACACAAATGAATGGGCGCCCTTCTCCCCGGAAGTCTGCCAATATTCCTTGATCCCCCTTCACTGCCTCAGCATCCAATGTGCCTCTAGGAGAAGTCATGTATCAGGACACTGCTGGGGCTTGGCCAAGTGCACAGCTTGGTCATTGTGTTTATTTTTTCTCAACTTTTTCCAAGTCAGCAGATGTGCGACTGTTACTTTGAGACCTTACCACTTACATTTTGTTTCAAAGCCCAGCCGTTAAGAATATTGCAATTTATCTCAGATAAGCATCCCCTCCAGTTGTCTTTATGTGCTTTATGATTCTTTGAAGATTGTTTTTCCTTTAATTTAAGGGATTTAAGGGAGAGTAACATAATACATTATGTAGTTTTCCATCATGCTGGAATTTCTTCTCCTCACCCACCCACAGCAGCAGGAACTCTGCACTTACTCAGAAATCAAGTAATTAAGTGCTTTTCCATGTTGCTCCACTCTTAGCTGTGCCTCCCCTCATTGGGACATGGTTCATTCTAAGATGCACTGGAGGAAGCGCCAGGCTCCAAATCCCTTTCTTTATAAATGACATACATTGTGTATAAAACTCCCAGTGAAATAAAATGATCACAATGCATTCTGAACTTCAGTGCTGTCAATAAAATGTGGTCAACGCCTGAAAGAAATCAGGTGATCCCAAAAGGAACAAAAATTATTCAAGAGAGTCCTGAAGTGTTTTCCTGTGTTTTCTGCTGTAGACATTTGCTGTTGTCGGCCTGCCAGCATCCCATCCCTCCAGATCTGGTAATGGGCCATATCGTCCCCTGTGGAACTGCCCTTCCCCTTCTCTGTCCATGTGGTTTCAGAGGGTGCTCTGGGGCCAGGCTTGTGACTATGGACTAACTAATCAGACCATCACATCATCTTTGAGATGGGAAGAATAATGCTACCCAAAGATGTCCATGTCCTAATCCTCAGAACCTGTGAATATGTCACCTAACTTGGCAAAGCAGATTTTGAGGGTGTGATTAAAGGCACTGAGATGGAAGATGACTCTGGACTGTTGGGGACGGGGGAGGGGTGGGCAATGTAATTTTTTAAAAATGTTCTTATAAGAGAGAGGGGGAGAGCCAGAGTCAAAGAAGATGTGACAATGGAAAGAGAAGTTGGTGTGTACGAGGCTATGAGCTGAGGAGTGCAGGCAGTGTCTAGAAAATGGAAAAGGCAGAGGAATGAATTCTCTCCTTCAGTGTCCAGAAGGCATATAGACCTTCCAGCCCATTTTTAGATTTCTGACCTCCAGAACTGTAAGATAATAAGTTGGTATTGTTTTAAACCACTGAGTTCATGATGGTTTGTTACAGCAGCTCTAAGAAATTAATACAACTTTAAATATAGTGATTGTCCAGAGATAGGCCCATGAGCCCAGCCAGGCTGCCCAGAACCCAGGAGATTCAGTTCTGGGACTTCGAAAAGAGGCTCTTGTGTTTTTCTGGGGAGCTGCTGCGAAAATCAGATGGAAGCTTGAGGGTGCCAGCAGTACTTGTCATCATGAGGCAAAAAGTCTCTCTGGGAATGCTGCCAACACAGAGACATCAGTAGAAAGTAGAAGTGGGGAGTCGAGGCTAAATGATAAGCCCTGGACCCAACATGGCTCCCTGGACCTTTCACCTACACCAGCCAAGACATCTCCAACTTCAGTGATGCCAGTTCAAATTCGGTTTCTTCCACCTGCAGTCGAAAGCATCCCGATGTGTTTTGTCTCAGCTTACTGTGATTGGAGTTGGCTGTCAAGAACATGGATGCTGCTGATTGGTCATTGTCTCCAGAAGCAGCAGCAGAACGGCTATGTTGGTTCATTGGTCAGGGAATGAGAAGAGCTACTAAGATAAATAACTTAAAGTTTTTCTAGAAAGTCTGAAATTCCACAGTTCTAGCAGGTAAGACCAAGTGCTCGTTCAAAACCATGTCTGGTGGGAGTAAAAAGGATGCAGGGAAGAGAGGAAGAGTGGCTGTTTGCACCCCGAAGCAGCACTAACCTGGAGCCTCACGCCCATAGACAGACCACTTCCTCGTGGAAGGGCACAGAGATTCCATCTCTCAGCAGCACCCAGCCCTTGGGGGAAAAGTGTAAAGGAAATTGATTTGTTTTTGGAATCTCTTGCATTTTGGTATTTCAGCAATGCCTCTGGCTCGTACCTTTCCCATCCCTCCTAGGAGCCCTGACTCAGACTACGTGCATGCACACACACACACATACGCACAAACTTATCGCAAACAACATGTGTGCACTTTTAACTGGAGCCTTCATTGCCTCGGCTAAAGGTAGGAATTTCAAGCATCTTAGCAGATAAATAGGATAGCTGCTTTTGAATAAGTTAAGTCAGCATCACAAACATACCTGCATGTTTTACTAACCTTGAAGTGGCCTTGAGTTTTATCAGAGGAACTTTTTACAAGCTGTATCCCTTTAAAGTTCGTATAGTGATGCGTTCCTGTGTCCACCAAAGGCAGCCAATCACTGGATGTGGAAAACTTATTTCCAGCAGCTGCCAAATACCTTGATCTGTTTGCAGAATAAAAATACTCAAATAAGCACTCCTTCATTCCCACCTCTTTGCACGAAATCCTAACCAAAGCCCAAATGCTGCCCCTTCTAGCAAGTTCTACCTCATCTGCCTGTTTTTTTTTTTTTTTTTTTTTTTTTTTTTTTTTT